TGTGAGAAACTTTTGACATTTTCTGTTAGATTCATTTTTTAAAAAGTCTGTGACATTTCCTGTTTAGCAGATTTTAAATGTTTTTCTTGGTAAAATGGCACATATCAATCATCTCACTTTATACAAAGCTGACATATAATTGTAACAGAAAGGTGAATAATACCTAAAGATCCCCCAGGAGATCTGTCCTGTTGCTGTTTGGAATTTTCCTGTCTAATAATGTGTTCAGGAATTTTATTAAATACCAAGTGGTGGTTCTTTTACTGATCACCTGTAGAAATGATACAGAATTTAAAGGCCCCAGAGAAAAAATATCATACAAGAGAAAAGCAGCCTGGGGTTAATTGGGAAGAGTGTGGCCAGCAGGTCAAAAGAGGTGATACTCCCCCTCTACTTGGCCACATCTGGAATGCTGTGTCCAGTTCTGGGCTCCTCAGTACAAGAAAGAAAAGAAGCTTCTGGAGAGGGTCCAGGGGAGGCCACAGAGATGATGAGGGGTCTGGAGCATCCCTCCTATGAGGAAAGACTGTGGGAGCTGGGCCTGTTTAGTCTAGAGAAGAGAAGACTGAGAGGGGATCTCCTTAATGCATATAAATATCTCAAAGGGGTGCCAGGAGGATGGTGCCAGACCCCTTTCAGTGACGCCCAGTGACAGGACAAGGAGAAATGGCTGTAAACTAAAACACAAGAAGTTTCACCTCAACATGAGGAAGAGCTCCTTTCCATTGAGGGTGGCAGAGCACTGGAACAGGCTGCCCAGGGAGAGTCTTCCTCTCTGGAGACATTCAAAACCCATGTGGTCATGTTCCTGTGTCACCTGCCCCTGGTGATCCTGCCTTGGCAGGGGGTTGATAAGCTCCAGAGGTCCCTTCCAACCTTAAGAATTCTCTGATTCTGTGAGTCTTAGCATGAAAATGCTGAATTGTATTTCCTTAAACCACATAGCAGACCAAACTCTCGCTTGTAAATCGCCGTTGCTGTGTTTGCTGTGGAGCTTTGCCCACGTGCGTGAACTGAGGATCTGTTTCAATGGATTTTGATCCCTCCTGAGAATCTGGCTCCACTTAATAGGAAAACAATTTCCCTTTTTCTTTTGCTTAACAGGTAAAGATCAGAGTTGATGGAACATTTTCCACTTCAGAGCAGGACCTGCTTGATTTGTTATACAGCTTTTTACGAAATGGGCACAGATCCACCAGGTTTTTCACCTAATCTTGTCCTCAGGTATTAGTTAGTAAGATGCTTTCTCAGAACTAAGTCCTTTAAACTCACAACAAAATCCTTGAAACTCACAATATGCCTCTCACTTATCTGCTTATATGATTCAGAAATTGTGAAGTTCTTTCTTTTGAAGGTGGGTATTGTACAATCATCCTGTGTGCTTATCTTCTGAGCATCTGCTTGGAAAATAAAACAACGTGCCATTTTGACATCCAAGAAAGTGCTATAAAAAGGCTGTTGCTATGTTTAAATGCCTACACTCGGTTGCTATAGCAATAAAAATATCAAAAATTATGTACGAATTGCCACAGTGCATTACCAGCCCTTTCCTGGACAGGGAGACTGTGGGACTGAGAATGTGACAGAGATGCTCAGTGTATTAGAGGGCAGAGTTGCCCCATAGTTCCAGGTGCCCTGTGCTGTCACATGTGAGCAAAATGTGGCCTAATAGTATAAATCCCAAAGTAGCTGTGTCAAATGGGACAGTTGGATCCCTGCTTAATTCAGTTGCTTCTTCATGACTTGTGTGACAGAGTTCAATATTTTGACCAAGTTCCCATTTCTCTGCAAGACAAGCTGCTGAAAATGTTGACCTTTCTCTAAATTCCTTCAGTCCCATGATATCATGTGAAAATCAGAATACAGAGTGCACCTCCCCGTACCCTTACAATAGTCAGTGTGGAAAGCCCTTGTTCCTGAGGCAGTTATGGGAACCCTGCTATCAAAAAGAAAAGAAATTATATAGTAGCTAATGGAATCGTTAGCATCTCTCTGGGGCTCAAAGCCTTGAAAATTCAGTTGCTTCTTGAAGAGAGCAGGAAATTCAACTTCCTTCACAAGGCATTTTCAATAGAGGAAGGCATGTGATTTTGGCAGCTGCAAGTTCAGTTATGGAATTGAATGGTTTCTTCAGACATTTCTATGCCTTGTTCTCTCTTCTACTGAGTAATGTTGGGGAAAAGACTTGGAAAAACTGGAATCTTGTTTGAAAGCAATAGAACTGTTTGGTTCTCTTTATTCCAATTTGCTTGAAGAATCCTCGAAATTGGCTCGAACTGCAGAACAGTGTGTTGGTCAGTTTGATTATGGTGATCCACAACAGTCCCATAATTATTTAAAGTGTTTTCCTTAACACATGCTTTGAAGTCCAGTTGAGAGGTCTGATAGCAAGAATGTAGCAGTGGTAGAAATACATATTTTTAATGTTTGTTTCATTTGTTATCTATTGATTAATATGCTTGTTCAAGGGTGTTTATGCTAGTAAACATATAGATAAAGTGATTCTTAGACACACTATAGTATAGGTTGAGGGTACACTTAAATTCTCCAGTACTTCTAAGTACATTTGGCCTGTTTTATTTTTGTAAAAAGTCTGAATAAACTACTACCATGTACTAGGATTATAGGTTTTCTCAAAATAAGAGTTACAATGTTATGTGGATAGTTGCATCCATCTCATTTCTGCTAGCTTGTATTTGCAATCTCATTACAGTATTTTGCTGTAATGAATTTTGAGCATCTTTGGGATTTAATTGGAGTATTTCAATTTTGTTTTTAACCATTAAGAAATGGGACATTTTGTAGCTCTACAGCTGCACAAACTTCCAGGAGTGTGGAAGGATGTGTCTTTCTCAACTTCTATGGGGATTCTTTGTTTACTTTCCTTCTCAGCTGTTCTGCAGAGAGAACTGGACAATCACCTTTCAAAAGGGTTTATTCTTAAACAAAAATGTCAACAGCACTGATTGTGCGTTTGGTTTGTTGCTTGTTGGGGGATTTTTTAAACAGATTTAATAGGAGAGTCTGAACACTGGATCCATAAATATTTATTGATACCTGTTTATTAAACTGTTCTTAAAATTCCCAAAGTTATCTTTTTATGTCAAGATTGGGAGATGCTTCTGTGGCAAATTATAATGTGCCTGTAAAATCAGCACATCTGTGCTTCATTTACAATATGGTAGCTTTTACTGTTGAGAATATGTGGTTATATGAATTACCCAGTTGGGGAGAGGGAGAAGACAACAGAGGAGGAGATGTGTGAAACTTAGAAACTGTAGCTTTTATTTTTCGTGAAACTGCCAAATACTTCAAACACAGAAACCTGATTTTCCTTAGATCTGTGTCTGTAGCACCCTCACCACAACTGATGACATGGGTTTGGTTTGTATTTAAAAACTATTCTGTGTAGTCTCTATTTTGGACACTGTACATGTGAACTTGCTTCTGCCATGGAAATGCAAATTGCTTGATACTGCCAGTCCCTGCAGCAGCTTTGGCTGGAACTGCTCACCAGCTTATTGCAGAGCAGGGGGAAAGAGGGAGAGTTGAACAGACAGCAAGGCTACCTAAGCTTTTTCCAAGGAAAGAAGTATTATATGGCTGTTGGTTAGAGACACACTTCACATTATATATTGTCCACTAGGCCTCTTTGAGTGTTAGCTATGCATTTATTCTTTCCAAAATCTATTTTTGGTATTGTTTTCCTTGGAATAGAAACTGTGCTGTTATTCTGGTGGTCAGCCAGCTATCCTTCCCCCTTCTTCCCTGCCCTCCCTTCATTCCCTCTGAATACCCTTTGAACTTGTCCAACTTGTTGAATTTGTCAAGAGAGGACTGCAGAAGAATTACGTTCCTACAAGTGAAAATCAGTGGTGTGGTAAGAGGAGAGACCCAGCTTAGAGCTGCTGAGGGGAAAGGCTCCCCTGTGAGCTGATATCACCGTGGATCCTCTTTGCTCTGCCAGCTGGCAAGCGGGCACGTGAGAAGCTTAAAACCAGGCACAGAAAAAGCTGTCCCTTGGCCCTCCAGATTGACAGGAGAGGAGACAAGTGAGCTTGTTATGAGTGAGATAAGATACAAAATCATTAAAATACAATACCTGAAGAACAGATTTTGATAGCTGCTTAGAAACAACGCGTTTCTTAACGATAGGGAGATATAGGTTACAAAACCGTCTTTTTTTTGCACTGATATCTTTATTTTGGAAATTTTTTGTAAATGTCTGTGAAACAGATCGTGAAAGCTACAGACTGATAATTCTCCTGTGATTTCACACCAACTTCCAATAGTTGGTGGCAGCCCATATGTTTGTCTTCTTTCCGAAGCAGTGCAGAGCACTGTTAGATTGTAACACAGGCCCTCCTCTGTTTTGCAGATTTTTCCATTGAGGCTGCAATGCCTCGAAGGAAAAGTTCTGAGGTTGCTGCAATCTTTGGGAACAGTCTATAGACTCTGCTCAGTCAGCTCTTCAGGCATGTCAGTCAGGTTCATGGGAACGTTGTTAGTGGACAGGTTCTTCCCATGGCAAGTAAATGTCAGCCATCCGGGTAGAGGCAGCCATTCCAATTAGACTTTCCTTATGCAACAGATGTTTTGAATCTAAGCCAGGGAGAATAAAGTAATGCCCAGAGACACTGGCCCTTATCTGCTTTCTGGTCATTTGAAGGAGGCAGCTGAGGCTCAGTAAAAAATGGCAGAATGATATCTCATTTGCTCCTAAGCAAACTGACTGCATACTTTATTTTGGTTAGTCACTGATCAGTTGCTCTCTGATTATTTGAAAGAAATTAACCTGTGGTAACATCCTGTTTTCTTTCTTTGCTTGATCATCTGTTTGGGAGGACTTGTTTGTTTTGCTTGAACAAACAAAAAAACCCTTTTCTGTCTAGATAACATTAAATTTGTTTCTTATGCTTAAAAACAGGAAGCTCCTGCCTAAAGCATTCCAGCCATCAGATTGCTGAATATTCATTATCCTTTCCTCACCTGTGCTGCAGGGCAGTATGCTGACCTTGAGAGTTCCTGACCTTCAATTCCTCTGATAGGTAAGAAGCTTTCTGGTTGCATTTTAAATTTTACTTGTGTTATTTGAAACAGTTGGGCTGATTTCTCGTTTGTGTCTCATCCAGTGCAGTTAATAGGAGTCTTGTACATACAAGACTTGCATAGGTCACTTGTTATTCTGACAATTTTTAACATATTTCAGTAATTTTTTTTGTTGCTTAACATATATGTTGGCCATTTGCTAGTTTTTAAATTAAATGCTGCTTCATAAACGACTTTTAATTAAATTGTTCCTTAAAAATTAGTATAAAAGTTACAGATGAGAATATATAGAACACAAAGAAAGTATTTCTAGAAGATAAAAATCATTACTGGATTGTCTAAGTAATATCCAAAAGCTATATTTTTGTCCATAACTCTCAAACATAATTCCTCTGAATTGAATGCTCCGCCTGGATGGATGTTCAGGGAGGGAAGTTATGTCATAAAACTCAGTCTGTAACTGTACATTCTTGGGGGCTGAAAGTGAAATGTGGTTTGGGTATGTGACAGAAGTTTGATTTGGTTCAGAAGTGCACAAGATGAGACAGCTGCTATTAAATAACAAGATAAATGTAATAATTTGAACCCAGCCTGAAGCAATAGGACACAACACCAACATGTGACAAACAGTTCAGGTGTGAGGAAGGAAGAGCCAGGGGCCAATTTCACCCTGGTGGCTTTGGGGAATGCTCATTTCTTCTTCACAGTGGTAAATCTCTGCCCTGTTAGCAAGTGTTTATTTGAAAAAGCTGAAGAATTATGTTGATAGTGTTTTGAATGTTCTGAGATTCTTAAAGAGGTCTTTTGAAAAGCAAACAAAATGGGGGAAAAAATCATCTTTCCAAAAAGTATTTGTAGGATACAGTGAAAGCTGTGTCATTATACAGTAAAAATATACAGAGAAGAACCACATCTCTTGAATAGTTCAGAACTGAACTGTTTTATCCCTCACTTTCTTAAACACATAATTTTCTGCTGCATTTGTGCTATGAAATAATGATTTCAATGGGTGAAATTTCAGTGTTCTGGTCAGTTATAAGGATTGAGTAATGCACCAATGTAAAGCATATTCAGCATGTTTTCAATATTCAGACCTTCCTCAGGAATATTAACCTGTCATAGTAAGGATTACAGCTGGGGAGCTTTGTGAAACTCAGTTGACCAAATAACTTCTGCCTGTTTCTGCAGAGTAAATTGATTGGAAAAGTTTCATGACTTATGGCTTGGTGTAGTTGAAGAAATACGAGGGAGAGTATGAAGAGAGTATGAACCCGATAAGTAAACTGAATAAAATTCCATTACTCCCCTCTGCTTCAAAAATTGAGGAAGAAAATGAAACTTTTTTTTAATACCAAAAGCACTAATGTTGTGTATTTGGTTACTCTATTGCTGAATATTCATGAAGCTCTGCAGTATGTTCAGTTAAGGTACTGGTTGCAATTAAAACAAGCTGTATGATTGAAATTTGCTTTTTGCTTCAACTTAGTTCAAAAGCACACTCAGCATCCATTTAGAATTGAAGTGCTCTTTTCTTTTGTGCATGTGATAGAAAAGTGTGATGCCATTCACTCAGGTTGGCAAGTAAATTGTTATGGAAAATATTCTAGATGCCATGTTTGTTTATCTTCTAGATTCCCTTGTTTCTTCAGAAAATAATTTCTGAAATAACTGGATAATGAGAATTTCAGAAAAAAAAATCACAGCTGGCTCTGAGATTAAATTTAAATATTTCCTTTAACAAAAACGCAAAAAATGCCGTGTTCAGTTAGTAACTTTATCCTCTTTGTTCTGTAAAAATATACTTTTTTTTTTCTCCAAGAAGGTTAAAAACATAACACTTGGAGGGAACACTTAGAAAATGAATTTGTAGGTTGTCTTTAAGCTCCATGGAAAATCAAATAAACATTGTTCTAACTAAGAAACATTAGCAACAACAAAAAAGTTTGTGTTGGAAAAAAATCTTTACATGCCTTAGAAACGTGTTCAACACAATTTGACATCACCTTATTTGCACAGATCAAACACTACCGTTGGTATTAATTTATCTTTAGATAGATTGGAATTAGTTTTTGCATAGATTAAGACATTATATATCTTGTTTGTCAAGCTAGCTTGGCAATTGTTACTTGTTTGTAGTCAGTTATTAGGTATTATAGAGAAGAAATAAAGGAAGAATGCAAGAAAAAAGATTAGTGGAACATACACTAAATGTTTATAGAAAGTCTGGTGACTCTAGTTCTAAGTTCTACCTTTCTTATTTCTTTCAATCTGTGAGGCAAAGCAAAACTACTGGGAAGATGGTTTCCTAATGTCTGCAGCCTGGGATTTGGACTAATACAGAGAATTAAGATTTTAATTCTTAAGAATTTAATTTCTTGGCCAATATAATTAAGAATTAAGAGAAGGATGGAGGCTGTCTCTCCTTAGCTCACTGTTCCTTCCCCTGCCCCAGGCAATTTCTTTGGAAGGTAATCTGAAGTCACTTCAGGAAAGGGGGTTATATAAAAAAGGTTCATTTTAGGCTAATGAAGTTTGTCTCCCTGGGCTTCCCTGTTGTCGTCTGAGAAGAGAGAGGTTCCTCCAGAATGCAATTCAGAGAGCCTAAATTAACTTCCTGATTTTAGGACAAGAACTTAAGTTGATTCAAAAACAAACAAACAAAAATACCCCACAAGCCAACCAACCAAGACTGGGAGAGACAAATGGCTAAAGTGAGTCTTTAGGAAAGGTCCCCTTTTTACATATTCTCACACCCTTCTCTCTCTCTCTGTTGAAGGTCTGTGGTATTATAATAACTCTTGTATTGAAGAAGATGTACAGAATTAAATAGGTGCAGGTTCTTTTTCTTCTCTTGATCCTTCTCCCTCACTGAAAATAAAATTTCGTGTTACTGGTTTTGAAAGAAACATTTGAAAGAAATCTTAGATCAGTATTTAGCAACTGTATCCAACCATATCCAAACTGATGAATCTTTGACAGAAACCAGCATTTTCAGTTGACAAGTGAAAGCAAATATCTGTGTTGTCTGTAAGAAAAAAAGATCACTTCCTTGGCTTATCAAGTTTTGATTTCTTTATATCAACTCTAATAACTACAGTAGGACTAATGCAATGCTGGTGTTCACTTTAACAGAATTGATAGAGACAGGTAAACTAGAGCCAGTTTCATAATGTGTATCAAATCACAATTCCTAAGGCAAAAGTGCAAACGAGCTTCAAGGGGAAGAGGGATACTGAGATGAGAATTTGATTTTCGGATGTTGGAAGCACTGTTTGTCATGTTCCTTCGCTTGTCTGTGCTCCCAGGGTTTGATGTTAGTAAGCTTCCCTTGCTTACTCCTGTCCTGCAGGCCACACAACAGGAGGATGAGATATGATGCCCTAAGGTTAAAGGCATGATAGCATTTCATCAAAAGAGCACAGGGAAAACTTGCAAGTTTAGAGGCAAACAAAATGTACAGTTTGTCTCTTCAAAGCCTTTCTGCAGTGAGTGGAAGCTTTGATTTGTGCTTTGTTGAAAAGAAAGGAGGTTGCTTACAAGGTTTGGTAGACAAGAATTAAATATAATTTTTCTGTTTTGATCTTGTGCATTTATGATGTAAAAACTAGCAACAGTGCCTGAAAAATTATATGTATTATCTCTTTGTTTTTAAGGCAACCTTATTGTGGAATTTCTCTTTGAGATTCAATTCACTAGGTGTACAAGGAAAATAATACTTACAGTGTGAAATAATTTTACAGTTGTGAAATGGCTGGTATATAATAGTACTAATTTCTTTTTCAATATTTTAATATCTCAAGGGGAAAGGTCATCCATTGTATCTTAGACCAAATATTAATTAGAGAAGAAGAGAGACTTCCAGCCTCTATCCCAGAAAGCTGGGGTTTATTCCTACCACTATAGGTTCTGTGAGAGGAAACCAGTGGGAGTGCAAGAGCATCTTAAGACATTCCCCCAGTTTGTACCATTTGAGCAGAGATTAGTCCCGTGTTTTTTCTGACTCAGCCACACGTGAGGCATTTGGACCAGGAGTGTAGGCAGCACTGTACAGCTGAATGTACGTGATAGGGAGAGGTTTCATCTCAATATAAAAAGAAATGTTTTCACAGTGAGAGCAATCCTTCAGTAGAACAACCTCCCCAGGGCTGTGGCAGCGTCCCCATCGCTGGAGGTATTCAAGTTATGGTTGGACAGGATGCTCAACAATCTCATCCAGGCTCCCTTTCCCACAAAGGATTGGGCCAGTTGTTCTTTAAAAGTCCCTTCCAAACAGGGCTGTCCTGTGATTCTGTGATAATAAGTAGGAAAAAAGATGGAGAACAGCAATCAAGAGGTGTGTGAACCTTCATGCCAGTCTCAGCTTCTTGATCTGGGGGAAGAAGATTCCATACTGCTTTGCACCTTTGTCCTCTACTAAATAGTATTGCAAGCAAATGGAATTTTCTTCATAATTGGGAATGTCATTTACTGTATGTGTGAGCAAATATGTTCATGTATGTGTAAGACTGCAAAGTTTGAAAACTGCTGGCTCACTGTCTTTTCTTCTGTGAAATTCAGTTCCTTTTTGTTTGATGCATCTTAAAGAACTGAAAATACTTTCTGTGACTTGCCACCCAAATAGCCTCTAAAAAACATCTGAAGTTTGTTCATATGCAAGAATCTAAAACGTGACAAAGCAGGGAGATGCCAGACATTCTTCTGATTGAGATATGTTTACTTCTTCAAGGAGGCTACTTAGGAATCCAGCACAGTACAGACCTATGGCAGCAGGATCTTAATCCTGGCTGTGGTTATAGCATGTACTGTTTGTATTGACTAGAAAAATGTAAAAGTCTTTTTCTCCCATTACTTCTTTCTGTCTGTTCTGTCCATGCCTTCCTTCAGCATTGCTAATTACTCAGGATGGGGGAAAAGGAAATTTCCCTTTGTTCACTTTCTCACAATCAGTCTCTTTCAGAAGTTGAACCTGCTTCCCCCAGTGAACATTCAGCCTCCACAG